GTTGGGTTCCAGGCGGTCAGGCTTTCCATCCTCATGCCATTTTCCATGATGGGTGACAGCAGAGTGAGTAAATAAATAAAAGATTCAGATAAACAAACATATCCAAATTAGCTTTATTTGCATGATTGGTAAAGGATACCGAATCCCAGTTTTTTGTGGCATCACATTTTTAAAGAGTGTGTCACGCACACTGCTTGGGTGAGCAGGAGGGCGGAGTGGAGCCATCACCTCGGCTCTACAGCAGCTTGAGCCAGCTGTTTTGTGGTGAGCATGAGCACGCTTGGTAAGATTTTTTTACTGCAAGAGACCTGCCTAAACTGATGCACTTAAGTGCCTACAGAACAAGTGGAAGAGCCTGTACAGACCATCTTTGCTTCAGAGGAAACTGGCCCATTGTTGTTAACTGCAGAGCAACAGTTCAGAAAGGTGAGCAGACGTTAGTGCCAGCTTCAAAGATGTGCACACATTTACCTCTGGCTGAGTTAATCCAGCAACAACAGCCAAGAGGAGCTGTGCCCATGGGAAATGCATTATCTTGAACACATACCTTTATTTGCATGTCAGTAAGGTATTTCTTAAGGAAGCGAGTATAAACTATGCACAGAGCTTTGTTTTTCTGTCATCGTACTGATGATACTTGCTCGTAACAAGCAGAGGAGCAGTAGTTATGGATAGCATCAGTACTACTTGCAGAGTAATTCGTATACATCTGAGGCAAAGTTCTGGGCGCTTCCACTAGGGAAAGGTGGGCTTTGCACCAGTGAACACGATTTGAAGTTCGGCTGAGCTTGCTGAGCAAACAGGCACTTGGCTGAGCCCTTTGCATGGGCCCTGTGCATAACCAGCTACTCAGTGTAGCTGTTCCACAGCTCTGCATTGTTGCCCACTATGCGGGGAGGGGGCAGGGTTGAGCATGCCATCCTTGTAGGGTGAAGAGGAAGCATTTGTTGTTCTCATTGTTCTCATTGCTCCATGTAAGGCTGAACGGAAATGCTTCAGCTACTGGCCTCAGCCTGTCCCTTGAAAGGCAAGGAGACCAAGAGGAGGAGGAGCTTCAGCGACTGGCTGCTGCTAACTAGCTACACTACAGCTGGACTTGTAGTTGGGTGCCTCTTGCTACTGCACTGCAGCAGGAAGCTCCCATAAGAATATGGTCTATAGCATCAAAATGCTTTCAGCCCGAGAGACTGCATGAGGATAGAGCTAGAGCTATGTTTTGGGATATGGTTTTTCTTTTTTAAAAAAGAGAGAACAAGAGGCCATTTACAGTGTATATTTTATTGATACGGGTCATAATTGCTGTATTTTTTATCAGTGCCGATTTCCATACAGCTCCCAGCATGTGTGTCAAATACCATTGGTCCAATAATAAAAATAAACATTTTTAAAATAATATAATCTTTGCCTGCTCTCATCATACATGTATTCTTTGAAGCCAGCATGACATATTGCAATTACGGATTGTATAGGTTAATTTGATAGACGATTAATGTATCTTGTGATAGCAGCCTAATGGTAGGCTTACCGGCTTCTTTATTGACAAAGGCTTGCATGACTGAAGTAGTTGCGTAATGGGAAGCAAAGAAAGACATGCAGAAAATCTGTACCTGCTGGCTTCACTCTAGCATGGCCTGGCGAAAGAGAGGCCAACAAGAGCAAATAATAGTGTCTTGTGGCCCCTCAGAGACTAATAATCAAGGTTTAAACTGAGGGCTGCAGAACTTAGACCCAGAAGCTAAAAGTGAGCCTTCTGGGGCCCCTGGTCATTTGGTGGTTCCTTGGCTCTTGTGCAACTTTCCCCCTAATTCTAAAAGGTAATAAGCATGTTAAATTAGGCTTTTTGGACCTGGCACATTTGCCTTCAGTCCAACCTACCACTCCAGTGCAGCTCCTGAAAGTGGAATTTGGCCCCTCTACCCCAGCTTAAGCTTTCATGGACTACAAAGCACTTCTTCACATGCAGTTGAAGTCCGCAAAAGCTTTTGCCACAATTAATATGTTTAATGTGCCAGAGTCCTGCCCCCACCCCGCTTTTTTTTTTTTTTTTTTTTTGCTACAACAGGGCTGACGCACTAGAAATGCTAACTCTATTTTATTTACTCTAAAAAAAATTTAAACATCACATTTTTACCCCCCCCCCCCCACTCTGGAATTCTATTCTGCTTTTGTGGATCCTAAAAAATGGAGTATTTTCCAGCTGCAGCCAATGCCTAGATTATACTGTCCTAGATTAGCTGGGTAAGATCAGCTGCAAAGTCTGGCTGATGCCCTTCCCAAGCGCTACTTAATACTGGGTGATGATTGAGGAGGGAGCAGTGCAATTTTTCATTTTTAAAGCACTTCCTGCAACAGTTTTCCCCAACCTGCTATCCTCCAGATGTGTGTGACTGCACTTCCCATGAACCCCTTTCCACATGGCATTGGTTTGGCCCAACCCTCCTGGAGGGCCCCAGATTGGAGAAGGCTGGTTCAGAGCAGGGTAGCCAGGCTTGGAGACCAAAGGCCACAGCCGGCAAAATAGACAAGGTGTCCTGTTCATTAGGCATTTAATGCAGCCCTGGCCTTTGGCAGTCCAGGCCATGCTTACCTCTAACAGGGCTGGGACAACTGCATTAGTTACTCTTGAGGCTTGTTCTGAGTGTGGGGACCTGCTTTAGCTGAGTAATTTGTCACCAAGTGCCACAGTAAACTACACAAGAGACCTGCTGATCGCAGCAAAGATGAGTCTAGTCCAGCATTCTGTCTGAACGGTGGCCCACCTGTGGCAAGGCCACACAGCAGGCAGAATCGCAACAGTACACATGTGGTTCATGCCGGCCAGAAATCGGCTCTCCCAGGCACGCTGCCTCTGATCCTGGAGGTAATACAGAGCCATCAGGAGCAGCAGCCACCAACAGCCCCATCCGCCATGTCCTTTTTGAGTTAGTTGGATGTGTAAGCTGAGCCTTTAGTGCTGACCTGACCTTGGTGTGGCAATTAACTTCCTAAAGTGCCAAGCTAACTCCTTCCAATGGTTTGTTACAACACAGAAACAAAAGGTCAGTATTGCCTTTATCCAGTTTCTTTGCAAAAATCCTTTGGATTGCCAGAAACCACCCTTCCATCATGGCCAAGACTGATTAAAAATTGCTCTTTAGAGTTATCTGAATAAAGCATTGTCCCTCTTCAGGGACATCTGAAACCCTCCTATTTTGCAACCGAAATTCAGTCAAGCACCTGGCTTACAAAAACATGTTACAGGATTCAGAGATGGAGCAGTGCTAGTGGCCTTGCAGCAAAGAGGCAGAAAGTATTGTGGTACCTTTGAAGACAAACTGTACGTAGGAGGCAACAGCATGTTTTACCTCAGGCATGAAAGGGTGCCCAAATGCTGATCTTTTTTTTTTAAGCAGCAGCAGCAGCAGCAGCAGCTCTTGAGCACTAACGCTCAAGGCATCTGTAGCAGTGGCGCACCTGCACACGCCCTCAGGCCAGCACAGCAGGGCCCGCAACTACCCCTACCTGCACTTTCCAGCCAGCCCGCCTGCTTTCATAGGAATTGAAGCCGCCGCCGTTTAACACAAGGCACCAGCTTGGAAAGCCTCTCGCTGTTCGTGCTCTGTTCCTTATTCTCTCTGCTCTATATTCTTCGTTTTGACGCATGCTCCTGGCTGGACTAAAGCTAGATAACTTGATCCCACACGCAGCCCACTATCCTAGCACCTCTGGTTCTAGCACAGCCTTCCATGGCTATGTTGGACTACAACTCCCACCCACACCAGCCTGCATGTCTAGGAGACTGGAATAGTGGAAGGTGTGCAAAGGTTAGGCAGTGACGTTCTCTAATATGACTTTCAGCCCAGATGTATTGACTGTGGTTGTTCCTTTAAAATCGTGTAGGCCATCCTAACCAAAAAAAGGAGGCTTGACTGTCTCTTGCCTATCAACCGCCAGAGATCGAGACCCTTGGCAGAGAGGGTGTGCCACGCTTTAAATGCACACGCTTTCCTTCTGCTGTGAGGGACAGAAGGCCTTACAATTGTGTTAATTTGGGAAAGTTGCTGACCAAGAAACAGCAGGACTCGAACCTCTGCAAAAACAACCTCCGTTCATCCTCAAGCAGCAAAATACAGAGGCTTGGAGAGCAGCAGCAGAGGCGGGACACTTTCTGAGCAGGAGCCTGGACCAAGTGCTTGAGTGTGAATAGCACAATCTCCAGGAAGAACAGGAAGTCTCCTTTCGAGATCGTATAGCAATGGGTGGAACAAGGGCTGCTTGCTTGCTTCGTTTATATTGCCCCTACTTGTTCTTAGCCCTTTCAGTACAGAAGCAAACTTTACTGTGCAGCAGAACTATTCACTGTGTGTTTCTTGATAGTGCAAGATCAATCGTGTGATTACTGCAAGAGGAAAATGAAACCAGGGTGGGGCAGCGGAGGTGCCACCATGACAGCAGCTAGTGGAAGAGAAATTTGTCAGTGCCCCACCACCACCCAATTAGTTGTTGCCGGCTCCCACCCCATCTCTCGATGCAAGGGGGCAGTATTAAATTCCAAAGGCTGGGGAAGTCAGATGCTTGCTGGGAACTGCTTCAGAATGCACCAGCCCCAGCAAAAACGCTGCTTCGTGCCGCAGGGAGCACTTTCAAATGCTGAGGCAGCATAAAGAAATTTTCAGCTTGGCACATCCCACATCCTTCCCCTTCTGGGGATCCTGTTGGGACTGTGTGGAGTTCCTTGCTGCCTTGAGGCCTCCAAATTCCTGGAGGTGACACACAGTTGTTTTATTGCCTGCTTTTAAAAAATGCCATGTGCCCCCTCCATTCTTCAGAACAAGAGTGCACTTCTCCCACGGGCCGTTAAACAACACTGCAGTAAGGCCACAATCCTTGCAACATTAGCTAGGGAGGGGCCATTTCACCAAAGAAGCTAGACCAAGGCAAGCACAAGGAAGGCACTAAAACCTTTCTCCTTTCCTAGTTCTACCACTTTAAAATAAGTTCTTGTAAAATACTCTCTATCCAAGTAGAATCCGACCTTTTTTGCTAGCATGGCTCACAGCTGTTTCACCCACTCTGGCTGAGACCTCACCATACTTCTGTGATCAAGGACCCCAAGGCCATTATCAAGCCACCTGAAGAATGTTTCCAACAGGGAAGCTGGGCACCAGTCAGCAAGTCCATGCCAACAGGAGGACATGGCTTCTCAAGATTTGCTGGCTCCCATGAGGTCAACTTGCCAGTATCTATGCCTATCATCACTGTTTGTGTCAAGAGTAGCTTTTGCCAGATTGCTCCTGCCCTGCGCAATCCAGCCTGGTAATTATGAAAAACTGGCTTAAAGCTAAGATATAATTTTTTTTATATAAAAATATAGCTATCAAGACATGTATGGAAGCACACGGTCTGTTTATGCACTTCTGTTTGAGAAAAGCAAGTTATAATTTCACTGTGACCTACCTATGTGAGAAGTACTTTACCAGCAGAATGCCAGAGGTCAGGGCTCCCTACCAGCCAGGATGGCACAAGATACCTTCGGCATTGTTCAGCATCTCATAAAGGAAAGGCATGGACTCTAAATGTGACTACATCTTCTAGAATTTGTACGCCTGCTACATCTGAAGACCAAAGTGCATATTCCAGGCAGTTTTGCAATTGCCTTAAAACACAGATTGGAAACTGGTGGCTCTCGCTGGGCTACGATTCCTGTGATCATTTACTACTGGCCATGCTGGCTGGGGATAATGGAGCTAGTAAGATCTAGCTGGCCTCTAGAGTCTAGTTCTTTAAAAAAAAATGCTAGGGGAAATAAATGGGCTTCAGCGTCAACAAAAGACCAGCAACAGTTACAGGGAGAGGCTGTTTAACAACTTTGGCCATTCAAAATCGGATCAAGCTGCTCTCCTACTTTTGGAGGGAGATAAACATTGGAACTGAGAGAAAGGTTCCTATGCGTGGTAGATTTTGTGCAGACAAATAGCTGGCAGGGGAGAAGTTGGTCTGTCCTCCAGTTCCTGCTGGTCCTTCCATCAACAACAATCCGCACACTTAAAGAAGTAGGACGGCACGTACTGTGTAGAGCTGGGCCCCTACTTCTTCCCGCCTGGGATTGGGGCAGGTGGTGGTAATTGAATGCGACCTCAGTGGCTGCAAGGCGAGGCATATGGAGACAGCAGAGGGAGAGAGTTCGTCTTCACGGAGTGCGCTATGCCTTGTCCCCACCCAGTGGATGCAGGCACAAGCCTCAACTCTCGGGGAGATTTCCCCAGCAGTCGACAGATCGCCTTCACTGCTGACTTGCCCGCAGAACTTCGATTTACAGTGTGATGCCAAGTGCAAAACAAAACCGCAAGTGGCAGGAACCTCAGAGGTACAGATCCGCTGGCCCAGGTGGGCAGCTGCTGCTAGTGGAGGCCATACACTGACATCACACCGCGCAAATCCTGGTGAAGCACTGTGTGTTTTGCCTTGCAATGTAGGGAATCTTAAGAAAGCTCTTCATGAATGTGCCCCCACCTACACTGCAGGGCAAGGGAACTTGAAAAGGAAAGCTGACTAAAAGATTGAAACGCAAGGAGGAATGGGGTGCAGTTTTGAACATTGCACCAGGAGCTTTCAAACAAGCAGAGCTGACCTGCAGTACCAAACTGGTATTGAGCCGCCAAAACTAGAGAGACCTCGGTCCCCATATTGCAGTGCTCTGGACGCAGAGCGGTGCAGTTCATGAGTTTGGGATTTGGGATACCTGGGGGCTGGCAGACATCACCATCCTGTGGCATTGGGCAGTGTCAAATCTTTTCTGGACCACGACTGAAGTCCAGGTTGCTTACTCAAATCCGTGTGTTCCAACTGTGCAGACTAGAAGAAATTCTAACGGGCATAAACGACACTGCAACAGTAGCAAGGTTCATCCCCATGCTCGCTTTCATGGCTTGTTGCCATCATTAGACTATTTTGAACATAGTTTATAACAGTACAGAAGAAGACCGCGGGACCTGCTTTATAGTTCTGTCTAGCTTTCCATTCAGAATAGAGACCACAAGTTACCTTCAAGATCACTCCAAAGCTGAAGTATCTCTTCCGTTTGTTTCTAGAGAGCAACAAAATAAGTGTGCCAAGACCTGCTTTTCAAGCAGCAGGCTGGCATTCAGTCTAACTACAAAAATAGAGTTGTGGGGAAAACATGCATGTTTTACAAGGAGACCACAGAGATGCAGCACAGGTGAAACTCAAAAGGTGCGAGGTACCCGCCATCACCCAACATCCCTGGGATCAGCTGATGAGAGGAGCTGAACGATCGTTAGTCACCGTTGGTTTGAGCTGGACATTGGCAAAAGGGTTCCTGTAGAGAGAAAGCAAGGCAGGGTTTAGCGGGAACGGCTCTGGGCCCTCCAAGACCTGCACCAACAGAGACGACAAAGGAATGAGACGCAAGGATGACAAAAGCTCACTGGAAACATTGCTCCCATCGCAACCAAGACAACATCGATTTGAACAGAAACATCTTTTCAAATGGTTATCTTTGGCCCAAATGGCTACACCTGGGTGACAAATTACTTTAACACTTGTCTTCAGGATGGTTTCCACTCCGAATTTGGAGTATGCACTATTAGGAACAAGGACAGATGGATAGACACTGCTTTGTCTCATGCAGAAAGCAACACAAACATCTGCAAGTGAAAGCTTCTTGTGCCGCATTCTGGCAGAGGGGGTGTCTCAAGGCTTGGAGCACCTGTTGCAGTTGCCATGGGGATGCTACCAAAATTGTCCCTCTCCTCCTGCGAGCAAACAACGGAAAGAAACCAAGCCTCTTCCTGAGAGATGGTGCCTTGACAAGCCATCTGTATTCTTGTGTGTCCAAGGAAGGGTGTGGGCATCTTACTGGCCACAGACATCTTGTTTCACAAGGATTTTTCAGTCTGCTTTTTTTTTTTAATATGCTTTTCAGTACTATTTGAGGCTTTGCTTCTTTTTGTTCTCATGTGCGTAGTGCTGCCCTCCCATTTTTCCCTCCCCTTGTGGCAAAGGTTTTCTCCACCCTAACTGTAACCTGAAAGGATACTATGCGTGCTTGGCCTAATGCCATGTCAGCCTCCCAGGTCTTGGGGGCTTGAGCGTCACATCAGGTTGGCTCCAATCCAGGTGCTCAACACTCCTCTAAATGACTTAGCTAGGTAGGGTTTTTTTAGGAATGTGGAAAAACTGTGCTGAAATTCCCATGGCAATTGTAGCAAGCTCCAGATGCAAGTTCAGAGGCAGGAAAATGCAAGCTGCTAACAGTCCATAGACTCGGGTAAACAAAGACGACTAAGAAACTTAATATGCGTACCTTCGAGACGCAGGCTGGTAGTAAAAGTCCCACTGATTGAAATATATAAATTAATTTTAGTCTTCATTTATACCAATTCCTTCCTCAGAGAATTAGTGCTTTGACATTTGAGAGCAACCAAGGTAACAAAATTCTCCCATAAAGATATATGATGAATGCTGACGCTTATGGAGCTAAAACAGCTAAGCCCACTTACAAAGGGCAGGTATCACCAAGCTCAGCCAGAGCCCTGAGGTTTGCAGAAGTCCATAAAATCTGGTTTTAAAACCCTGAAGGGTAGGGAGGACTCCCCTCACCAGTCAAGTGTGCTCAGCGACTATGGAATGCTGACTTGGCTTTGGGATGTGGGGAGAATGGGAGAATGTTTGGGAGGGGAAGTGGAGTACGATGGGGGAAGAACAGCTGAACGGCGGTGCACATGGCAACGTTCTGTTGCAGCTCCCACTTGTTCTTCCATGCGTTCAAGCCATACTTGAAGATCGGAGTCACATCCCCGAATGCAAAACATACTTCAAATGGCTCTTCCAGCAATTTCATTTCGGGCTAGATGAGGCAGAGTGCTGACTATGGTGAATAACAAGAAAACTGGTCATGCGGAGTCAACCTTTGTGTAGTAGAAACTGCTGTTTCAGGATTGCACTGTTACTTTCTAGGCCTCCAGAGCAACAGGGCTATTTTCAGACATGATAGTTTTACTCCTCCTCCCTCAGCAAAAAGTCACACTTTATTGATATTTACAAGGCACCCACACACATGGCACTGCTTCCTCCAGAACATCTTGCATCTGTTCAGGGCAAGCTGCTGCTCTCCAAGTTCTTGTGAACAAGTCACGGTTGTGGGCCTGCTACACTCGCGGGTGAGGACAAATCTTGAGCTTGGCCAAGGTCACCGGGTGGGGGCGGGGGAGGCATTTCCAGCAAATTGCATTCCTGATCTTTCTTGGCACAGAAAGATCCAAGGGGGCGCTGCGTCCACGGCTTGTTGACAGGCAATGACCGGCATAGCACAGCTCGGCAGCAGAGAAATGGCGCCTGAAGCCTGTCCAGGCCCACTGGGCTCAGGCCAAGGAGAACAGACTTCAGATCCTACAGCCTTCTCTCTTAAGACAAGAGCCACCCTGGCTTTATCTTGAAGATACACATCCCATGGAAGCCAAAGCAATGAGGAACATGTGCGCGTACACATGTTGGCAATGATTAACCTCAGCATCTTGCAAGATGTTCTTGTCTCGCCCCAGCCCGGGAGGGCTCCACAGGGCCAGCCTGCCCAAGGAGCAGCAGGAGGCACCCATATGAGGCGGCGGTGCCCCGAGCAGGGAACTGCACGGCTGCCCCAGCTCGGAGGGCCCACCAGCAGCCCACACATGCCAGTGGAAAGCTGCATGGGTCAGGAGCCAACGTGGTCCCAACCCTCCCTCTCTGCCACCCCTGGCAACACTGCCCCTGCTGCTGCCCAGGGGCAGCAAGAGAGCCCTTGCCAGGCCTGAGTCTCAGCAGAAGACGGACAAGCAGAATGTGCCTGCAATAGGTAACGATCTGCACTCTCCATATCCATGGGGCGTTGTTAGTGCAGTTTCCTCTTTGAGCTTTCTTACAAGAGGCTGTTAATGTACCTGATTTCTGCTCTCTACACCAAAAGCTTTTCCTTTCCTACTTTTCTTCTAAATAGCCTCTGGGTGGTGCTGTGCTATAGCAGAATATTACAATTATACAAGTAGGAAAATAACTTTCCTTTCACTTTAAAAAAATACTCCATTTCCCCCACTGTAAAGTTGGGAAAGTGCTCTTTAAAAAGGAGAAGGGAAACTGGAGGATGGCACTGAGGTCGAAAGAACCTGGAAAAACCATGAATAAGCAATCACAGGTGTTCAGTGAATGTCTTGTGCAGAGACGCTTGCTGAGAAAGGCACCGGTACAAACTGCTTCTGGAATGTTCCTTTTTATGTATGAAATGGCAGCATGAACTTACGTTATTTGCTCAGGTGGCTTCACTGTCCTAACCCAAGAGCTTGTGGGAGGTTGTGTGCTTTTATTTTGCCCTGTTGCTTGCCATATTTAGTTACAGAAGCAGACGTTGCCCGACGCAAGGAAACAGTGCCAGCATCCACACTCTCCATAGAAACACGCGAGCCTGATGTTTCCATGGCAAGCGCAACCTGCGAGGCAGAGGCTGGCTGAAGAAGAGCTACTGCCAGCTCTCCAGCAATGGATCCAACTGCCCAGTGGGCATGGCAATGCATCGTCTGTTATCTCCCCAAGGAGATTTAAAACAGCTCAGAGGATTAATAAAGCGAAATACAGACTCATGCTTCATGGGACAGCTAGATAATTTCCCCCAGGAAATAGAAATGGATCTTTTGCCTAGTGTTGCTGGAGACGTTTGAGCCACTGATGCCTCTGCCTGCCCACATTTTCTGAACCCTCATGTAGGTCTGCCCCCTCGCTGCCGCTTCTTGTTCTGCGGAAGCAACTCTCCTTTCTACACACTCCTGCTGCAGGGCAGAGACCAAGGCAGCCAGCCCGGCAACGCACAGCTTTGAATCTAGGTTCAGGAGGCAACAAGGCATGGCAACGGGTGCCAGATGGAGAAAACTGCTCTAAGTCAGGGTGGCCAAACTGTGGCCACCAAGGGCTTTGGCCCTTAACACCCAGTGTCCCTCACCAGCACTGCCAATGGCGAGGGATGATGCGAGTTATTGGCTCAAGTGGCTTCTGTGACTTCCACAAGTAGCTTGTGAACTGGAAGCCCTAGAAGCTAGGAAGGCTGAGGAGAGGGGGTTGTTTCCTCCAGGAGGGATTCCAGAGCAAGCAAGCAACCTTGCGAATGCCTTCTGGAGACTCGATCCTAGCAAGTGCACAGAGGGCTAGGCTTTGTCAAAAGGCTTTGCGGATGAGTGAAATGCTGATGTATATAAAATGTGCCATCTCAAATGTGAAACACGCGGGCACATGTGCTGTTCCCATGGATGCCCCTTTAACATACAGAAAACCATGGCTCGTGCATTTTTTAAAAAGGAGCCACTGCTGATGAATGTGTTTATGTACACATTATTCAATTGCCATAATACGGTTTTACACCGAAGTATAAAAAGCCACCTTTTGCATAAAGCAACCTCAGAGCCTACCCCAGAAGAGGAAAGGGAACCAGGGCTTGCTGTACAGGTATGGATCCATGGAAGATCCCCACTCACAGGCACCTTTTTCAGCCAGCACCAATTACTTGAAAAGGTCTGCGTGGTTCACAGCAACAAGATAAATTATCCTATTTTTAAATCACAGGCAATTAATATTCCCTACTTAATTAATGCAGAGGCCAAGATCATTTTTCTCCCAGGGGATGTTAAAATAGATTCTTGCAGTTGAAAGGAAGTTAAAGGTGGGGTCGGGGGGAGAAGGTATTCAAAACTGTTCACTCTATGATTCATCAAGGAAAAGTTAACTATTTTTGTAATGGCAAAAGGAAGAGGGAGGGTAACCCAAGAGCCTGGCAGAAACGCAAGAAACTTTCTGAGTTGTGTCTGAGCTTCAGTGCAGAGGTGGGACAGAAGGAATTGCAAAGGGGAACAAGGGTACACCTCTATCAGTGTTTAGAGAGAAAAGGTCCTACAAGTCCCAGCATCCCCCATCCAACCATGGACCTCACTTGCTGAAGGGGCAGTGGTCCATTAAATGATACTCAAGAAAAACAGGGGTGGCACAAGTCTATTTTGTTGTGTAACCATCACATCAACCATCGTATGTTGGAGTAGCCGTCACAGTGCAAAACTGAAAAGAGGTTACTGAAAGGGCAGGCAGCTATGAAGAAAGGCCTTCTTCTGCTTGTGTTGGAATAGTCCATGGTGTCCTCACATGCATGGGAGCTCCCTGCATGCAAGGATATGCCAACACCACGTACAATGCCCCACACACAAAATTGCCCTAGTACACAAGTCCGCTAGTCCAGGGCCTCTTTTTTGTTATTGTTCACAAACAAACACACTGCATTTTGGGCGGGAACTCATAAGGCCAGGAAGCTGGCATGGAAGATGAGAAGCCAGACAGGAACAACCAGGAACTGATTGCCTTGGGAAGGGAAGGCAGGCAGTGACCCGAGGCCCAGCAAAATCACACTGGGGCTGTGCCAAAGCGCCAAACACCAGCTTGAGATCAGAGAGGCCCATGTCTGAAAGTGTTCCATGGAAATGTGAACCCACACAAAAGGAAGGGGGCGGAGAGCGTGGGGAGTGAGGTAGGCAGTGTGCTAGGAGTTGTGCAGGTGTAGTAGTGGATTGCAGAGACGGAAGCATGGAGATTTACTCTAAAGGTCAGCAGAGGAAAAGGAGTCCACTTTCTCTCGGCCAGAGAAAGGCATTAAAACACCAACCAGTGGATTGAGTTGCAAGCAAGTCAGGCTCTGAACTGACTAGTCACCTGAGGAGAATGGAATTCACCAAGGGAGTGTCCACAGCTGCTCAGCAGAGGCCCTTCTTCCCAGTCAAGGACACCCCCCCATCCCCATGGTCTGGTTCCACATTCACCAGTATGTGAACAGTCAGTCCAGAGCACTCTTAGGAGTGAGGCTGAGGCAGAGGGAAAGGAGCTGACACATGGGGGTAGCAATGGTAAACTTACAACTATACACAGTCAGGACACCTCTCAAAACCTGGCCACTTCAATATCCGTGCTGTAATGGAAAAATAGAGAGGCTGTTTGTAGGCTGTACTCAGTATGCATGTATATGCCATAAATAATGGGAGTGGAGAAGCGGTTATTTAAAACAAGCACCGAAGGCACCCTCAGACGCAGGACCTTCAGGCGAGAGAGGTTTCCTGACCCGCTGGCTGCTGGCCCGGATCCAGGATGCAAGGCAACGTGCATTTGTTACCTGTGGCAACTCAAGCTCATTGCCCCCAAATGCAAGGGCAGGAGGACTGCAGGGGAAGAAACAAGGGCCAAGCCTCTGCCTCATCCTAAATTGGCTACAAATCACAACTGGACCCCCTAAACCTGATGGTCAGTCATACTTTACTAGATGTCAATAATGTTCAAATCGTAGAAAAGGACACGGGGTGTCTGAGGTGACAAACCACACGGTGAGCATTTCACAGAGCTTCGGGGTGCCAAAAGAGCCGTGCAACCAGGCTATCATGTGGCAACTTCCATCACCACCAAAAAGAAAGCCCAAAGAAAATCACCCAAGCCCAACTTAATGGAGGAAACAAAACCTTTATTCAAACATCTCAGTACAGGGCACATTTATCCTTGTCTTTTTTGCCATTGCTGCTCTTTGTTTTCTGCTTTTCTTAAAAAAAGAAAAAAACCCAAACAAAACACCACTCCCCGCAGCACTTTCACAGTCTTTACACAAGTTTTGCAGTTTGCATGTTTTTGTTTGCTTTTTGTTTTGTTGTTCTCTAAGTTCATTCTTTACTACAGAATATCTTGGATGTAAAAGTCTTTTGAGCAAAATTATGACAACAATGTAAGGAGGTTCTTTTTACAGATGCCCCAGAGTCTATTATATAAAACAAATAAAACCTTTGTTATGTGTATAGAGATATTCTATATATAGAAAGAGAGAGAGAGAGAGAGAGAGAGAGAGAGAGAGAGAGAGAAAGACACGAATCAAGATAATAGTCAAGAAAATATTGCCAGCAGCCTCCTATACAGGTCAAATATTTTGATTTTTGTTTCCTTTAAAAAAAAAATTGCATGTGGTCCTAATAGGAATACAGATTTATACTGTAGTCTTTCAAGCAGAAGTGAAAATGTTAAGTCTTTAACAGGGGGCACGTGACTGACTTCCCAGAATTCAGTGATAGAAGAAGCAATACCAGTATCCATTAACTCCAATTCTACTGTGTTTGCCTCTGAAGTTAATCAAGACACACAAAGAAGATTGACAGCATTTTAGGAGATTTTGCCAAAAATCATGAAGACCAGAACCCATCCCAGACCCAACTCACCTGCCATTCTGACATCCCTCCCCATACTACCAAAAATCGGAAAAAAATCCAATATCCAACTCCTACCCCTGCAAAAAACCCCACACACCTCCAAATTTATAAAGAGAAAGTCTTTGGATTGATTTGGCAAACTGCATAATTCAACAGAATTTCTCCTCCCCCTGCTCCCAACTCCAAATTCCCAGAGCACTAACCGCAAGATATTTATTTATATATATACATATATGTACACACACACACACACACACACACACACACACACACATATAAACAAACAGCCCCTTTAAAAAAGAATACTGGGTTAGTGCTCAGTTTAATTAGCTGGGGCAGATGAACAGTCAAATCCTCACTGAAAACCAGACACTGCTCTCCCTTTCTCATTATTCTCCACTGTCCTTTATGCAACCCCTGAAGAGCAACTGAGGGGGCTCAGGCTTCCTAGCTTCTTTGCGCACCCTCCCTTTTGACACAGAAAACTGGCATCATGGTAACATTCAAAAAAGGATCCTTGAAATAACAGTACGTACACCATAGGCCATGCATACTTGTTTCTGAGTTATTCTTCAAAAGGAAAAAAAGTCTCCATTGACAATGCTTTAATGTGAAGTTCACATTAAAACCTCTGAAAAGGGATAGTGCACTTAAAAATTATGTGTATAATACAGAGAGAGAGAGAGAGAGAGAGAGAGAGAGAGAGAGAGAGAGAGAGAGAGAGAGAGAGAGAGAGAGAGAGAGAGATGGGATATCTATCTAGTTTAGTGTAAATGTAAACTGTACCCAGGCGGCTGCTGCTGAAAAACTAATTAAGCCCTGTTTTAATATTTTCTGCTCAAAAATATTTTTTAAAGAATGATTTGCAAACTTCAGGGACTGCCGTGGTGGTGGTAGTGGTGGTGGTGGTGTAGCTGTACCATGGATTCCCTTAACGATCACAAGAGTTAGAAATCCAGGAGTGGAGAGAAGAGTGACTTTTTCCTTTTCTTTTTAAAATGAGGATAGGTGAGAAGAAATTGTGAAGAAGTAGAAGAAAGAAAGAAATGGAGGGGGGACAGAGAAGCAAACTCTTCCAAGCAGCAGCTGCCATTTCTAGTCAAGGGTCCTTCTCTCACACTGTAGATACCAAAGTGCCACTGCCGCTGTGGAACAGAAAGAAAAAGCACAGAATACTGCCAAACTGCACTTCAGCAAAAGAAGTTAAAAGAGAGAGAGAAAGAGAGAAAGAGAGAGAGAAGAGAAGCATCTGATGGACAACAACCTGTCAGTAACACATCTTGAGTGCAATGCAGTATCCCTTTTGGTTTGGAAGCAGGGAGTGGGGTAGAGGGCAGAAGGAGAGTAGTGGAAAAATCATGGCCCATCCCCTAGACTTCTGAGCTTTGTGTAAAGTTGGCATCCTACCTACATTCCATTGGTAAGGTGAAAAGGGCAGGGTGAAGACCAATTATTTTGGGAACTTTTTGGTTGGTTCTAATAAAAATGGGTATTGCCTGACCATATGCTTTGCAATGTTCCTCTAAATACAACCATTTTCAAAAGTGTTCTACCTTGAGGAAACTTTTTGCATAGGTCTAGGTTTCAGACCTAATGTTGCCCAGTCCAACAAATGATGCAGGTGCCTCCTCCTGCTTCTCTCAAGCACCCACCTATTCCCTGAAAACCAGGGTAACAAACTACAATTTGATCCTGGTTTGTAAGGACTATTTAAACCACAGATTCAGCATAACAGGGAATCTACAGTTTAACAAACTTGCAGGTAAGTGATACAGGAGAAGGAAAGAAGGGGACTGGGGAGTATTTGAGTTCAAAGCTCATTCCTGCTTGGACTGGAAACATTACATTTGAATTGAGCCATAAACACAAGCCATAAACCATCAAGGAGGCACTACACATCTGTCCCCAAATCCAAGTGAACTGTGGAAGATGCCGAAGCATGCTCTAAGCTGTACATTCAGTTCTTGCAAGGCACTGGCAGGTCTGTTAGGCCCCACCACTGCTCTGCAGGGACTGTAGCGCAACCTACATAGGAAGCTTATTCTGAAGCCAGTATTGTTGATACTAACTGGCAGCAGCTCTTCAGATTCAGGTGGATGCTTTGCCTGCCATACCCAGTGATGTCAGGAAGTGAACCTGGGACCTTCTTCATGCAAACTACCTGTTCTACCACCAATCTGTGACCTCCTTTTAACCTTTAGCACACCGGAGCATTCTCATGTCCCAGCACACTGTAGAGAAAAATCTGTCACAGTGTCTACCATTACTCATCTTCACATTAGTGAGGCCACCTTCTTTACTCTAGGTTATGTTCTTCATGTGAAGATCCTAAATCCAATATACCAAAATGTAACCATCTCCTCCTGGGTCACCCAGAAGGCAGGGGACTCTATGGAGCTGGCACTCACAGCTTGTGCCTGATTAGAAAGGAGCTGCATGCAATCATCTGTCAGGAGACACTGCAGCCTAACCCCAGCCCTTTACTGACACTCATTTTGTATCTGCAATGGGCTTGAAAATGCAACCTCTTACCTGCTTGAGGATCTTGTCCCATAGTCATCCAGGCCCTATGGATACAGGGGGAAAGAAAAGGAAAAGAAGTCACGAGATCAGTGATTAGAAGACGCCACATTTGCCCACAGATGTCAATGGAAGATAAACACTAATTGACCCAACCATTTTTGAGCTCATAGTCATACACTTTTGGTCTAAGAAACTGAGACCAAACTGAAGGCTAATTGAAGCTGTATGGGCATCAGTCAGTGGTGAAGAGTTACACTCCTTTCACAAGAATGTGACTTCAGATAACAAAACTGTCAGATTAGAGAATGACAACTGAACGCTGTCTTCAACCTGAGACAGAGGAGGTCTCCAGTGTAAGATGTGAACTGCAGGATGTTGAAATGGGGTGGCATAAAATGCTATACATGCTTGGAAACGCCCTCTGGAAAACCTGATTGACGGCACTGGAAGCAGGCGTAGGACCCTCTACCCCATCTCTTTTGAGCATTATCCTTTCTCCCATTAATAAATGCCAAAGAGATGGTTCAAGGCATCAGTGGAACAGATGAAACAGGGACAATGGTGCACAGAAAAATGCCTCCTGTCTAGTTCATCGCCATGCTCTGATGTGTACAGAGAAAGAAAGGAAAACGACACGTGCTTATTTTTCCTGTTGGCATGGGTACAGTCAAACCACAAATCTAGAGGCGATACAATTCAAAGTTTCACCATCATGTACAGGGGTCCTCGATAGTTCTAGGGAGTTTCTTCCTTTCTGAATAAACAAACACAGTCCTGCTCAAGCTCTGCAAGAAAGAACATTTGGCTCAGCTTGTTGCAGCAAAGCCAAAAACAGGAACAGAAATATTGATGCAACCTGGAGCAATTATTCCAGTCACTTTCTCACTTGAACTTTGCTGATAAATATCACTTATTCTGGGCAAATTTCTAAAGTTTCAGACAGTAGTTTCAGCTGAATGGAACTGAAGGCTTCTATTTCAAATGTTGGGGCTGTGCCCAACCAAACTGAAACCCCATGCACAGCTCTTAAGCAATCATTTGCAGTCATAACTAGCTCTCACATATCTGCACTCAGGGAAAAGGGCCGCCAACTCTGAGAGTATGATTTAAGTCTCAGAACCACTCATTTAAGAAGCCAATGCTTCCCCTATTGCAACCTAACAACAAAACTATCATTGCTCTTCAACACATTCATCCAAAGCAGTTCCTCAGATAAAACTTGTGGTTTTGACATTACCTGAGAAACCAGTAGACTCCTGACAATTTTGATTCTGGGCTTCTTGATCTCAAAAAGCCTCAAGAAGTTCCAACAGAAGCATTTCTGGACTGTAACATTGTCCCCAATTTACAACCTATGATTTTATTAAATATCTGTATGCTGCTTTTCCAACTTTTACTCATGATTTGTTGAGATTCCCACTGCAAATGTTGACTACTAAAAGGGGAGCCCTGACACCTTCCAGACTGCACATTAATTTTCAATGTAGCATCACCAGACTTGTTCCTCCTCCCATCACTTTAGCCTTTCACTCATTTTAACAGCTGGTCTATTTTGGTTGGAGGTAGTCTTCCTGACCTTTTAAAACTTGAGAGTTTAAAGACTGTTCCCAGTTCCAAAGTAAGACATTCTGAGAGAAGAAAAAATAAGCTTTGTTGACCTACAAGCAACCAATTTTTGGTGTAGATACTCACACAGAACAGCCAAATGTTACCAATTGGGTATTTTCGCTGCTGTTTTACTGCCACTCTTTGTGCCTTATTCATAACTCATTTGCCAAATGGTTGATGTTTTTTCTCCATTTAGGTTTCCTTCTGCTTTATTTTTTAAAAGAAACAAGTCAGTGCACAGCCTCCTTGGAAGGACGAGGATGAGAAAGGAAGAAGAGAGGGGGTAAGAGGCACATGCTAGGTAAGGCACAAAGATGTCTTAGACAGAAAACAGCTTCCAGAAATCCCAGTGGAAACTTTGTGTTCTTGGGACTTACGACTGTTGACCTAGGATAAGGCTGGTAGGAAGCAGGTAGCAGTTGGCAGAGGCCACTGGAATAGTCATTAATTGCACAACCGTAGGGCATAAGGTACTCCTATAAATAATGAACATAAGCACCTGTCGGCAAATAAGCCTCACCTTCTTGCAAAAAGACCTATGTAAGAAAACAGACACTTGGAGAATTTCACTTTGGCTGTGCTGCAATCAGGTCTCCTTTTAGCAGAATGACCTCTCAGCCATCCAAGATGCAGACCCAGTTCTGTGCTTTGGGCCCAGCTCCGCTTCTGCTGTTTGGCTACGGAAAAGAAGGGCTGCTTCATTTTCTGCTGATGAATCACATGTCAGAAACCCAAACTTGCCATGAAAGGAGGAGGGAGCAATGGCAGTATCAAAGAGTGCTTTATTGCCCTCCTGTCCTAGCATCCACTGTGGAACTTTCTAAACAGTTCCTGGGCAACAGGAAATGCTGATCGAGGTTACAGCAAGCATTATCACCAAGCTGACAAGATGGGGAAACAATCAACCTGTACACACCTGCTCCCAAGTGTAAAGATGGGGTTTGAAAATCTTGCATGCAGCCTGAAGAGCATTCTGCCAAGACAAATAATTTGTCCCAAACAGTCTATCGATTCCATTCCAAAGCGCTACCCTATCTCACAAAAAGGTGATTGTTCGTGCTCTGCAGTGGAGAACGGAACCTGGCATTCTACTGTGGCAGCTGCATAGCCAGAGGGAGCCCGGGCCAGTTTCTCCCAAGCACAGTCACAGCAACCAAGTCAGGCCATTTGTCCATCTAGCTCACTACTGCCTCCACCTGGCAGGGGAAACATGCAGCTCATGGGCTACATGTGCCCCCACGTCAGCCTTCTATACGACACCCTACTACCCTCCAGCGTGCTGGTGAAATTCAGCAGTGCAGCAGCAAAAACACCGTTTCAGCAGCAAATCCAGTGAGTGGAATCAATTCTGCAGAGAGCAAAAATTGGCCCCATATCAGCAGAATTTGCCCATCCCTGTGCTACACTAGCTAACCATGGCTAGACAGGATTTCCAAAGGATTCTTTCCAGGAGAAACCAGGGATTGAAACAGAGACCTTCGGCAGGGCAGTCCTGGGGTCTGAACTATGGCCTTTCCCCATACACATTTCCTTGCAGGGGTTCTAGCCTTTGGAACAGTCTCCTTCATGCTGGAAACCCCTCCCTTGGGTCTAGCTGGCCAGCCAGGACTTTTAGAGGCCTAGGCTCCATTTCTTTGCTCACTCTCAAACAATCAATTGCAATGGCCCTAAAGCAACTTGGATACTTCCAGGCCCACCACACCAGTCTTGTTTTAAGGGACTTCTCTAAAGGCAATACAGATTCCAAGTCTCTTTAAGAACACAGCGAGGCTTATGCCACCAGAAAAAGACGTAGCCCTGCAGCCACCAGAACTTAATGACCTGAACAGTCAAATTCACTCTGTTTGTGCGGCCCCCAGAATCTATGCAGGGCAGTAGCTGCCTCTGGCTGAACTGCAAGCCATTAGAATAGAGCCCATTCACAGCAGAGCATACCTTAGCCCCACCCAAAGAGGCTCCTCACCTGGGTGAAGGGTGGCATGGCCACACTGTACGGCCTCTGTTTGAAAGTGCTGACGTTTTGCGACTGGAAAGCTCGAGACGACATGCTGTAATCTGGAGGGGGGATGTCATCTTTGTCCAACAGGTTACCCGTACTACTGCTCTTCCCTTGGCTGGAGAGATAAATCCATGTGGTTAGCATCCCGCACCTTGCAGAATTACTTCAAGGAGGACAAATGACGTGTGGTTGGGCCTCCCTCCACCTTCCTACCTTGCCAACAGACAAGTTCAGTGTTTTCCCAGCCTCTCTCACTCTAAAGGACTGATTGGAAATGGGGCATCGGCATCAGCTATGTGGATGCCCTTGATTCCTTCAAAGAAATGTTCTCCATCCCTATTCCCACGCCCAGCTCTGCATTTTTCAGTGCTGGCTATCCTTGCCTGTTGTGTTTACACTGATGAAACATCCTAATGGGAGCCATTCCATCAAACATATTTGCTTTGGGTTGCTCTTCACACAGACACGCATACACAAACATCAAATATTTCCACAGAAAAGCCTGCAATACCAGTCTGAAATAGGTGCCGTGTGTTACTGACGAAAGATGAGCCAGAAGAGGGCAATGCAAGCCAGATTATTGGCTCTGGTTTAGCAAAAGTGGGACTCATCTGTATAAATACAAGTTCCATCAAAATGCCCGAGAGCCACAAAGCCTTCTTACCTCATGTGTAACCTGTCGCTGGCATCAGTGTCGAGCACACGAGTGTAGGAGAAAGGAAACCAGCCTCTCCTGTAACACAGGTCCAAAAAAGAAGGCAAAAGTTCAACTTCTCTCTCACACCGGAAAAGATGCCAGAAAGGGGCTTTAAATACTGTTCCGATTACAGCAAGAGGCAGCCTGCCTGTCAGTAGTTTTTGTGCATGTGCTAGGCTGCCCATACCCTCCAAGCCATCTCCTGAACTGCAAGAAACATGCAGTCTAATTCCATTGCCATCCCCATGAAAATCAAGGTTCAAGGAAGCCAAAAATCTTGAGGAAACCAAGAGTCTGGACTTCCATATTTGTAGAGAAACGACGGTGCAGTCCCTGCATTTTACATTGAAAGTGCATCAGCTGACAGTCTTAGGAGAAAAGTTCAAAACTCGACTACGCACAGGTAGATAGTCCATTCCCAATAAACTGTACCCCATTTGCAGCCTGATGCAGCTGGCAGATTATCTCCTATGAAATCAACGATGAGTGTATCGTATGGTGCTCTGTGTTGTTAAGGCCACTGCATATACCACCTCTTGTATTTGATGAAACCATGCATGCACCACTGCATGAGAACAATTAGGAAAAACGCAGCTTGGATGCAGAAAGATTTATTCTTGCAAGGTCCTATTGGGCTTTAATTCCACACCATGACAATATGGTTTTGGGGCTAGTTCTATAATTTATTCATTCATTCATTCACTGCAGCGTGGGGGAAGTTGGAAATTGCTGTTCTTTAAGCTATAATATGTTAACTACATGACTCTTCTTGCTGCCGGATGTTTCCCTTCTGTCTTAACCATTTGTGCACACTGAAGCCAAACTCTGGTCCCTTTAACTAGTGCAAAACTGCCCATTTGGCATATACGTATAGGCAGTCCCCGGTTAACAAATGAGTTCCTTTCCTGGGAAAATGGAAATCTGTCTGTAAGCCTGATACATACTTAAGTTGGATCATGTATAGTCAGTCTTCCACATTTGTGGGGATCAGGGGCACAGGACCCCAAACCACTAAAATCTGTAGCCCTACTCCCATCCAAACTCCCCAGCACCTCCTCTCTGCAGCAAGGAAATGCTGGAGAGATTTCCCTCTCCACATGGGCATGGCAGGAAGACCAGCTCTGGAGGCCTTCCTCACTTCCCTTTTGCTTCCTCTCTCTCTCTGACGATTTTCCACAGTAATTTTAAAAAATTAATAGGCTTTATGGCAGTTTGCTCATAAGTACAGGCTGTTCATAACTCAAGATGTTCAGAACTCGGGGACTCCTTAGGCATGCTTGGTGCCTGAACATTGTAGCAATGTGATTTGTTTCGCAATAGAACTTTCTGATGTAAAAACCATAAAGATAAAATCTAGAATGATTCTGAGCTAAATCATGAAGAGCAAGCCACTAATATCAGCGACAGCTCCAGTCAGGTCAGAGGCCAGGCTGTCGGGACCATATTACTGCGAGACTCCCCTCTTTTCTTGGCTTGGATCGGCAGAGGAGCCTCAGCGCCCTTCCTCAATTTCCTGCTTCCCATCTCCTCATACAAGCAAAACTGTGGGCAAGATGATGAATGAGAGCACACCAGCAGACTGGCACTTTCTTTGCCTTACCCACCAACTCCAGAGATCCAAAGTTTTATTCCGCTAGTGTTAACTACAACTGACTTGGCCACTGCCTTTTGCCACTGAAGCCGGCCACCTGGCCTGCTGCAGCTCCTCAAAGGGCAGATTCTCTCCAGCCTCTACAGAAAGAGTGGAAAATACTGGGCCATTTTCTGGAAGGTGGGTGGGAGGAGACGAGTGTAGCATCTGCTTTAGGCCTTTAAAAAATCATGATTCTGAGGAAGAGCAAGCGAGCTCACAAATACTCGGGAACTGTGGAGGAGTTTACCTACACCACCGTTGCTAAGCAACAAGCTTCCCCCAATTCCTCAGAAAGCATATTGTGCAAAAGCCAACCTGCTGCAGCAGTCTACCCCAGTGACAGCTTTTTGTTCCAAGTTATGCCATGGACGCTCAGGGAGCTAAGTGCCTGCGGTTTCTGCCATTCCTCTTGATTTTTTCTGGCACTCCTCAGCGTGGGAGGTCTGTGCTGAGGGCAGAGCTGTTTATTACACATTCCATCCCTTAGCACACCAGATTTCATCCATGGCAACGTCTTGGCCCGAAACTCTCATCAGTCCTTGCCAGCACAGCCAATGGTGAAAGACAGCGGAGTTGTAGGCCAGAACATTCGGAGGGCCACGAGTTGCCCACCTTTAAGCTATGGTGTGACACGCTAGTTACAGGTGTTAAGGAAATTTCCAAAATGATGGAGGGCAGTGCTTATTAAAAGACATTACATGTTTTGAATACAGGGAGTCTGAAGTAATAATCACTCACCAGAAAGAGAACCCTGTGCCCAAAACACATCCCGATTCTCCAATAAATATTGACTTGCACATGCTGGAAATTCCCTCTACTTTTTGAGCTTGACCTACCAGTACTAACTTCTTATGTGGTAGTAAAGTATTGGATGAATCATTCACTGGGGTTGTGATCTGACCTTGCTTGCTTATTTATTTATTAAACTTATATTCTGCACTAATAGTCCTGTAACACTCTCTATGCACTTTGCATTCGAAAAGCTACAATGTGTAAGAGCAACGAAGCAATAGGAACTCCTTAGCCCTATTGCTTCCTGTTCCACAAAGCGAACATTTGCCCACTTTGTGAAAAACTCAGCTACTGGAGGAAAGCATCAACAGAGACTCAACCTCAATGCCCCCAAACAAGCGAGGGCCCTTACAATTTTGTCTTCTCGCTCTCCCCGTAGTGCCACCCATCTCTGGCCTCTGGCACCAGCAGAGTGATGAGGTCTCCCTCCTTGAAGCTGAGAAGGGTGCTGTTATCCCCAGCGGCGTGAGAGAAGATGGCTCGTACTCGCGTCCTGCCGTTCTTCTCTAGTCCTGCTGCCATGGAGCTGGAACGGGGCAGCGTCTTGTTTTCAGCTGAAAATAAAGAAAACTGAACCATCGGGACTCATTCCTGTTCTGGAAAGCTGGCCTAAATCCTCAGCATGAAGAACCCTCCCCCAGTCGACTTACTAAAACTAAATGTAAATATGTTGTTCCTTCTTTACTTAGAGCGCTGCCAGCCTCTTATTGTCTCATTAACTGCAGGCTGCACAAACAATAGGCGTCCAGAAAAACATAATGTTTTAATTTGAATCCCTCATAAATGTATCATATGGTCTTGTGAAACATATAAATATCGATTCCTTAATGACCCGCCCTCCCATTAGATTCTTTATACTTTGCAGGCTTTGGGGTCAAACTGGCTTTCTCCTACACAATTACTTAGCCTGTTTGCAAAACAAGATCCCTCTCATGGTTTTATTCAAGGATTCATTCATTCATCTTAAACATTTACATCTTTGTAGTGAATGCCAGCAAAGGAGAAAAACAAAGCAAAAAAAAAGAAAAAAAGAGAGATTGAGTGAGTTTCCTGGAGGAGAACCCTTGTGGATATGAAGCACTGAGCAATCTCTTTCTTAAATCACTTGGCAATAAATACCTGTGCAATGTGGCACAGAAGGAAGCAGTGATTACACAGCAGAGTAACCTCATCATTTTTGTCCAGTGCCACAAGATTTTTTCTCTTCACTCAGAGCAAGGTCATCCATTGGTTGCTACAACTGAGCAACAGCTGCAAATATTTGTATCCAGATGGTTGCAATACTTATAGCCACTCACATAAAGTGATGCAAGGGGTCCTTTCTTCCTCATAGCTTCTACTACTACACGGAAAGATCGGGAGCACTGCAACACATTATAGCATCTATACTGGGACACAAGCTGTCCTAAGAAACAGTCTGCTTCAGGTACAGAGGCATCCAAATGCATCTGTTGTACAAGCCCCTGTAGTGCATGAGAAACAATCACGTCTAGTTTAATTAAGTCTTGTAGCAGCCTAGGATACAGTTCAGTGATGCCTGCAAGGGCAACCTGTTAGCGATGGGAGTCCTGCACATTTCAGCTCTTTCCTGGCCATTGCTCTTGCTTCTGGGAAACTTATAATCAGAAAGAGTATTTACAGTGCACGTGTGAAAGAGTTTCACTCCTACCAGGTAGGATGTCCTACCAGGTAGTTAGTCTGCATATCCGCTTGACTCTGACAAGCCAGACTTACTGGTCGCATAGCTGTTTTTCGGCATTACGCTTTTGCGCACGGGGAGGGTGTTGGAGTATGAGTCACTCAGCTGCTTCTGAGTCTGAGGAGGGGATAAGGACTTGGGCTGAGGAGGCTTCCTGTCCGACCAGTGGTTGTAATCTTCACCTTCCGAGCTCGAGACACCATTCATCACTGGAATGGTCTCTTGTGCAGACATGCGCTGAAGAGTGGGAGGAGAAATAGCAGTTAGATTTCAGCTTAGAGGAAGACACCTGGCCAAAATCCTCAAATCTTGAGTGCAACACATATTAAAACACGTGTTTCTTTAAAAAGAAAAATACTTGCAGGATTTAGACACACAACTATTATAATTAGAGGGACACACAAAAGTGTAAAATACTTTCTTTGTAAGGGCTGCCATATCTCATGGCTGCAGGCAGAGATTATAACTGCATGGTTTGGAGAAAGTGGAAAGGGAGACATTTTTCTCCCTCTCTCATAACATTGAACCCAGGGTCCTGCATTGAAGCTGATCAGTGGAAGGTTTAGGACAGATAAAAGGAGGTACTTCTTCACACAGCAAACAATTAAACTATGGAATTTGCTGCCACAGGAAGTGGTGATGGCTGCCAATCTGGATGGCTTTGAAAAGGGACCGGGCAAATTCATGAGGGAGGAGGCGGCTCTCAGTGGCTGCAAGCCTTATTGGCTATGTGCTTCCTCCTTTACCAGAGACAGAGTGCCTGCGTACACCAGTCGCTGAGGAGCTTGGGCAGGTGGAGGTCTTGCACCCATCCTGCTTGAGGGATCCTGTGGGCAGCTGCGTTGCCACTGTATGATATTACATTATATCTATATCCCGCCTTAGGCTGAGAGGCAGTCACTGGCCCACCACCACCCAGTGGGCTTCATGGCTGAGTGGGGACTAGAACTCGTATCTCCCAAGCACAACATTCCAGCCACTGCACCACATAGACTCTCATAAGCAGGATCTGTCAGCTTAGCCTTTTTCTGATCAGTTTAGCAAAGACATGCTTCTGTATTATGCAGATTACCTCCAGAGCACAATCCATAAGCATCCCTGTTCCTGCGTATTGTCATCAAAGCATTAAAATCTGACTGAGCTGCTGAGTTTTGGATTGCAGCCACAAAAGCAGGTACTGCAGGAAATGTAAAATACTGAAAAGCCTGGAATCACCGAGGAGCAAATTCAGCATACGAAGCACACGTTTCCTCAGGCATATAGTTTTATGTTCACCATTTAACCCAGCTTTTAGAGGTTGGCTTCAATCTGGAGTGAAATTAGATACTGACTCTTGCACATTTATGAGCTATACATGAACAGGAATCACTCTTCCTTTGCCTTATTTCTCAAGAAGGAACAAGAAGCGCTTCAATAAGGCAGTGCTTGTCTGAAAAGCCCTCCTCCTCTCTTTCATCCTGGGAGTCTGCACATGCTGATACTGTAATTTTGCCATTGAGTCAGGGTTTTATCCCCTCCCCATCCTCCCCAATCTGCTTTTTGTAGCATCTTGCCTGAAGAAGAGAACAGGAGATCTTGAAAGCTTGCACATTTCTGGTGACTTTCTGGCTGGCCTAATAAAGCCATTATATAAAAATGGTCTTAGGAATTTTTCTTACAGTCAACACTGCTTCCCTTATTCTTACTCTGCCTTCTGTAATGGAGCAAGAGATGGTTCTAGTCCCGTGGCACCTTGCTGGAGGAGGGAGCGTGACGCCCCACGTTTCCCCTGCAGAATCCATGCAGCTTATGCAATACTTACTCCTACGAACGGCGCCAGCTCGGGTGGGACTGGGAGTGGTTTGGCACCAGGAATAGGGTCTGAGATGATGAGGTTTGACTTGGACGTGGAAAGCGGGCTGGGCATAACGGTCCCATTGCTGCCAATGGCCATCTGCTGCATAAGCTGAATGGCACGGTCTGGGATCTTGTTAGGATCAGAGCAAGACTGCTGCCAGAGCGGGAGCTTCTGGGTCAAGATGTCCTTCCCCTGAAGTTACCAAACAAAGAAAAGAGGAGAAAAAAAGAGCATGAGATCCGCAGGCCAGACTTTCGCCCGCAAACGGTGTTGCAGAGGGCAGGAAAGAAAGCCTCCACCACACTCCAGCACACGCATTTCCTTTTTCATGTTTCTGTCATGCCACAGCAGCCATCTGTGTTTGGCTTCCACCAAAAATACCCTTACTTAAATGCGTAGCTTTCACAGACACCTAGGCTGGTGCATCATTTATCCAGAAGCACTTAAGCAGAGCCCTGCTGGATCAGAGCGAGGGTCCATTCAGGCCAGCCTTCCGTTTACACAGCAGCCAACTGGCAAGTAGGGCAGGACACAGCAGCGCCCTCCTTGCACGAGTGTGCTTTGGCATATTGCTTGATGCTGGAGAAAACATCCAGCTAGCCAGTGAAGGATCACACTGGAGATAGGCAGGCAGGCACACACACAGAGTTCTCAGTTCAGTGAATGAAATCCATCTGCTCCTATGTGACCTGCAAACAAGATAAAGCCGGATAAAAGACAAGGCTCTATGTGTGTGTTATGCCAGCTGACAGGCCAGTTAAAAGTGCATGAAACATTTACAGGGGAAGGGGAAGACAACAGAGACCAATTAATTTCCCCTAGCACAGCATTCTGAAATATTCTGTTTTGGAGGCAGCTGCTCAGGGAAAGCACATCTGAGAAATACAACCAGGCGAGGTCTCATTCCAGGATTTTCTCCTAAAGGGAACGAACTCATCCCCTCCAGTGTTGAACCATCTCTTCCCACTGGGTGGCTGCTCTTGCTGGCACAGTGAAATTAACGGCAGGAAACATTCAGAACCAAAGAACAGAGGAAGCAATTCTCTGATCCGTGTATAAAAAAGGAGGAAAAGCAAGCAAGGGTGGGTGTTATTAACAGCCAGGGCAGGTCAGGACTTATGTCAGTTAGTAGCTGGAGAAGGGAAGGTAACTTTCCTCAACCAAAAAGTTAATAGGAACAAATAGCAGAACCAGAAAAACTGGAACCATGCCATGGGTGTTCCCTGAAAAAGGGGGCACTGTTATAGGACATACACTCCTTGTGCTCAAGCAACTGAACTGCTTACCACCTTCCCTCAGTCTTTGTTCACTCAACTAAGTTGACCATGCTTAGTTCACCAAACTGTTTCTAGCATAACACAGAAAGCACTAGAACAACACAGTCACAGCACCCCCAGTTTCTGTGCAGTGCTGAATTGGACATACTTCTGGCTCCTTTCAAAGGCAGGGAGTTTTAGTGCAAGATCACGGGTGTATCACAGATACGGCAGCACCCTCAGTGTGTGTTTCCTCAAACTCAAGGTGACAGCCTTTATCACCATGCAAAGATCTGGGCCGTTCAGATCTCAAATTTCAATAAATGTACGGGAGCAATGTGGCAAAAGTGCAGGCTCTCTGGAGCTCAGCAAGTGCATGCGTGCTTGCATCCCACGTGTCATGTGTAAAAAGAGAAACTTCCTCTGCTCCTGAACAAGACCACTATCAGACCTAAAATGAGGGATGCAGTTCAGATGGTAACCTGGTTTGGATGAGATGCCAGCCCACTGGGAGCTGAAACCCTGGGCCATTGCGATGTGTGCCATCTGCTATTATGAATATGCAAGCTCTGCCTGGGAGTGGCAGTGGCTTGTCATGTTGTCCAAACCTAGGGGGCGGGCGGGGGGGTGTTATTTGAGGGTTAAATAGCCCTTCCATAAGCCATGTCTGTTTTAGGTCATGCAAGGATTGCTTAACTCTCAAATAATCCTCACCTCCTGAGTTTGGATACTATGACAAGCCATGGCCAAGCCTGGTCAGAACTTGAAAATTGGTAATGGTGCTTAGAATGCACTGAAACTTCTCACAGGTGAATTCCCCACCACAGCCTGTCATGTTGTACAAGCTAGTCCTCAGAGTGCAGAAGCTTCCAAGAGAGTTTTCAAGATGTCTAGCAACAGAACCAGGAAGAGGCCCTTCTGGTCAAAATGTTATAGGCAATCGTGGCCATACCCAGAGAGTAAAAGCAATACTCAACATCTTGATAAAAAGCTGGAGTTACTGAAAACTCAGGACTTGTACAATATCCACACTTGCATGGGGGAAAGCTTCTGGTTCCAAGTTGATGTACACCAGAAATGCAAAGGAGCTTCCAGTTAATTTCCCCACCCTTGTCCGTGCAGCACACAGGGGCTGTGCTTTTGTTCAGTCTTCTTTACTTGATGAAGAGGGATTGAACTGCCACTGTGATAGGGAACCTCCAGGCTGGGTCTTTCCCAGTTCCCAGCCCATTTTCTCCCTCAAGAAGAGATAAAATGGAACTAAGAAATTAAGGACAAATTCTCAAAAGGACAAGATAGGCTGTTCTTCCAACAGCTTCTGCCATTTTCCAAGGCTGAAGGGTTTGGGGGGTGGGGGGGATGGATGTTGCGTTTAGTACAAAGCAGGTCAAGAATGCTTTGCTCTCCTGACAAAAAACTCTTTCCATATCCTTGTTTCAATAGTCCCTTCTCAGCATCATTATCGACCCTAAGGTACCACCTTCTCTCAGCTCACCCAACGGCTTAATGTTTAGCATAATGGTCAGTGGAGGACGACTACACGTGGAGCCATTTCCTCAGCAGTGGAAAAGTTTATTCACACTACCTTGCTACACAGCAGCAGGATGCCATCAAGACACCAGTCTGGTTACTAGGCTGCAGAAAACAGCTGCTCCATAGCAACAAGGGGTCCCAGAATAGCCTCTGCCAGGCTCCAGACAAGCCCAGGTTAGTTGCGGGGTAGCTATTATTGCATAATAGCAGAGACGCAGGTGCTGTCCAACCACGATTTCGAGTTTTTAACAGGAATATGAACCAATTGGGCCTTTTGCATAGCTTGGGATTCCAGAAGGCTTACAGAGGCTCCTGTACAAGCGGGGGAGGGTCAGTTAAATACAAGGGGCAGGATGCTCTGATGCCCTGCTCAACCTAGGAAAGCTTCCTTTGGAATGCAAATACTAGCTCCTGGAGGCAATTGTCTAGTCTATGGCAGAGTGCTCAGGAGAGGAACTCACCCTTCCAGATATCACCCCAGCACCAGCACACATATTCATAGCATCCATACACTTAATAGCCAATCTAGTTTGGCCCTAAGGGGGAGTGGCAGAAGCTCTCCTGGACCTCAGAGAATGAACGGCTGGTATTCTGAAGCTTCCTGCTGCCTGATATTGCCAGGTCTGATGACCTTGCTTCCACTTCAATAAAAAGCAAAATCATTCTGCAGTCCAAAACCAAGTCAGAAATGGTACAAGCAGGAAAAAAGAGTATAGCACTGGGAAGATGGAAATGACAAACTGCAAGCACATCTCTAATGTTTAGGTAAAGTGCAAATTAATGGCAAGGAGAGCCTGAAGCACTTTCCCTGCCCTCTCTCTTTCTCTTGGGGGCTACTTAGCAGCACAAAGAAGGGGAAAAGGGCACATAAAGCGGTGCTTCAGCCCTTCGGTTAGAACAAGATAGATTTTTCTGCACTGACAGCGCACGTGGCCATTTTGAAGCATACGTATAGGAGAAAGAAAAACAGCAGATTCACACTGTGGGGAGAAGTGGGGGAGGGAGAAGCAACATATGCGCTTGGAGTTCATGCAGATTATGCAGTGCTTCCTGCACAGAGAGGATCTCTGAGAAGAGTGTTCAGTGCACACAGGACCACTTGACAAAAGATGGGTTTCTTACACGAGGTGAGGGACACTGGTGGTGACCCGGGCACTCCCACACCTCACGTGCTCCGTTCTCATGCAGCTTAGAATACGCTGCACCCTCACAGCAGCTCACTATGGACTGGCCATCTGTGTAATTCTCCAAAGCAAAACAAATGTTCCAAAGAAAGAGATTGCTAGTTAGGTGAGAAAAAAAAGTCTTGTTGGAGTACTGACAGGCTGAATGAAGCTACCAGGAAGGGAAGGAGGGGGCAATTCAAAACTTGTTTGTCCATTCTTGTGGCAAGAAAATAATTTTGTTCTTGTAACTCAAACATATAAATGTTCCTTCTATATGTAAATACTTGGCTTGGCATACATTACTGTTTGAAGATGTTTACGACTAAGCAAAACTTTTCAGTTCATCTCTTTATTATCTAAACATCTTTTCAGTCTACCCAGATGGCTACTGTAGATGAGAGGTGTGGTATAAGAGATAAATGCAGGTACAACCATTCATACATATACACAAGCAATTAAGTATAGAGAAGCTTTGTTCAGAACAATACTAGCAGAAGTTTACTGACAGGAGAGGAACAATTCTCCATCTAGGACCCAGAATAATTCTCACAAGATCAAACATAGGCTTAAGTTGATGCAATGGAGTGAATAATGTGCAGTTTGGCCCACGATGAACGCAACACGAGTAAAATGGGATTTCTAAACTAGTTTCTGACTTAGCCATGTATTTTTGCTAAGTAGGCTATAGAAGAGGAACCCTGAGAACTTACCCAAAGAAGCTTCCCAAAAGGAACACCCCTCCCCCCAAAAAAATAAACTGGAAAAGTTTGTGGCAGTGAAGATAAAACAAGTCTTCTATATTGTGCCAACTTTGAAGGAATCTGTGTGGATCGACATCCTGCCTCTTGGTCCAGCTGTGAACCTCCACCACCCCCAAGGACCTGCCTCTGGGCTGTTGTACAACAGCAAGTGCTACTAGAACTGGTCACAAATATTACAAGCTGTGGAAAATATCTCCCCACCCCCCACACACATATTTCTGTCATAATGCTGTAGCTGCCTCCTTTTGTGTGTGCTAGCACTGCAATTAAAAGGGAAAGTTCCCTCTGCTTTAATTACACTGGAAACCACTACAGGGCCCCAAATGGATACATCCTATCCTACACTTATTGCAGTTCAACGCATTATAACTTCTAGATGTAAGGAATGTATGATAGTATGACTACGGGAAATAAGGACCTCTATGGGAACACATAATGGATGCGTAAGCAGAGCTTTAAAAGGTCCAAACTGAGGGAGTCTGAATTTCTCCTGTGTCAACACTCCTCTTTGTCTGTTCATGACTATATGCATTCATGCATCTGTGAACAACATGAGATAAAGCATTTGGGAATGAATAAGTAGAATTCCCTATAAAAGAAAGGAACACTGTTTGCTGGGCAAGTTTCTTCAAAGGAGCAGTGCTTTTATTTCAAGGAGAATTCTGGCCCACAACCTCTGATCCCATAAACTTGAAATAAATGAAATCACATTATGATTGATCCTGATTTCTCAATGATTCTTCATCGACTTTCTGAAGTTTAAAGTCAGACTGGAGATGAATAGCCCCCACATGTGGCTCCCTAAGAGACAACAGCTGGAAGGGACTTCTGCCCGGTAAGACTGTCCCTGCACAGTCACCTGCTTACCTTGGAATGGTACGAGAGGGCATTTTTGGCCACAGCACACTGTTTCTCCACCAGGAAGCAGAACCGCCGCCGCTCCTCTGTGAGTGCCGTCTTGTAGCCATCAGACACATAGTTCTCCAGTTCACCTTGCTTGTTGCTGATTGCTTCAATAAACTGGGATGAACAGAGAGAGAAAAGCCATACAGTAGGACAGGTCAGCAGAGTGCACAGTGTGAACCGTGAGATATAAAACAAGGCCTGTCACCCCAATTTAACATTTCACTCAGTGATCTAGCTGCTCATAGCAGGATCCCTTGTGATGGCAGCACGCATGCCAATTGTTGCAAGAAAGAGAATCAGAGCAGCCCATCTCCCTTTGCCTTCATCAAAGTCCAGTATTCCATTCCGTCTCTGCACGCAGTCCGATTAAGACAGGGCAGCAGGGGGCAGCAGGCAACAGAGCAAATGCAGACTTACAGGGAGTATCGCTATCGCCCTCCCTCATCAGCCAGCCTTAGTCATCTGACCTCCCCCACACAAAAGCTCCTGACTCAGAACGTGGGCTTCAGATGTTGTGTGGGTGGCAGAAGAGCAGAGTGATTCTTCTCAGCCTCCCTCCTACTTAGCCTGCACCTGGGTAGTGTTCATTTGCTAGTGCTTATCATTGCAAACTGGCTGTGCTGCTTGCACAAGGTTAAGGCGCTTTAAAAGAGCTTCCACTCAGGTGAGATGGAGCTTAAAACTCCACTGTCCCACTAACCTGTTGCCATCTGGGTGGCAAACATCAACTTTCTCTGTTTCTTGACCACATGTGGTAGGGGGTGAGATCCCCTCCCAGAGCAATGCATTAAGCACCTCACAACCCACAACCTCCCACCTCCTTACAGGAAGGTACAACAAATAATTGCCCTATAAGCTCCCACAGAACCCACTCGTTGCAGTTTTCTCATTGTTATGACATATAATGCCCACTTGCACTAGGTCGTGATATACCCACATACAGAGCCGTTTTCTCCATCTGCCTCTCTCAGGCCATCAAAGACCAGGAACAAGCATTCATGTCTCCTTCCAACCAGACTCTCTTCAGCTTCCACCCAAAACCCTAAGCACGCTCGCCTCTTGCACCTGGTGCTCATTCTGGAGAACTGAAAAGACTGCAGTGGGTTTCTGCCTACTGGACACACCCATTCCTTGCAGCTGTGTGCACACAATACTGGTTGCTGGATGGCGTGGGACTGGGACATGCTCACTCCTGATCTGTGTTCCATGCAGAGCGGCACCGACTCCCTCTTGCATTCCCTGTCCTTTATTTGGCAACTCCCGTTCCGATGCAGCAGATCCAAGCTTTGTGACCCACTTTTCATTCCGTCATGTAGCTTTTCACAACCTGGTATCTTCTAGTGTTGAACTACAGCTCTCTCCATTTCTGGCCAGCAATAACCTATTACCAAGCTGGCTGAGGATGAAGGGAACTGCAATTCAACAGACCAGGATGGGGAAGGCTGCTGTAATGTATGCAAGTAAGCAACCCGTGCGTGGTAGCCTCTATCCAGCATTCATGTTGCCAAAGTGATCTAGCTGCTTTCCCGGTGGGCAGGCGAGCTTCCTTAATGACTGTGCACTCTTCCTGCAGCTGAAGGGCTCCTTCTTTCTTCAGAATGTCTTTCCATGAGGACTGTCACATTTAGTCAGTCAGTTTGATTCACAAAATTTGTAATCAGTTAAAAAGATGTCTACCATAAGGCAGCAAAAATAACAACAAAAAGCAATATAAGCACTTAGATTTTAAAAAAAATCTGCAGCAAGCTGCTGTTCCATCTTAGAAGCACTATTGTCCCCATGTAGGAGAATGACTTTTCTAAAATGATTTCTCTCAAGTGACAGGTGTGACTTCATGAAAAGGAGTTGCTTTTCTCTTCAGAACTGGGCCTTTTTTCACATGCAAAATATATGCAGATTTAATCCAGCAAAACTCATGATTTATTAACTAAGAATTGCTTAATTGAGTGACAGGCAATTTCTGCACTAGGGTGCAAACAGGTGCAAACAACCAAGCAACCTGAGAAAGGCAGGTTGCTTACCTGTAACTGTTGTTCTTTGAGTCATGATCCATGCATTCACACCAATGGGCTCGATGTGCAGCGCAAGGCCACATCCAGAGAGAAACTTCCAAAGCTTGGCACCATGGAGTGGGCAGGAGCCGGGACCGCCCCCTGTGCAGGCAGTGCATAGGCAGCGGTTCCCACCCAGTCCCTCAATGCCTGAAGACCGTGCTGTCCCAGGTGTGTGAGGGATGCAAGGTGTCCTGTGAAGGAAATGGTGACCGCGCCCTGCCCCAGTGTGGAAGGCGGTGGCCTCCAGTTCCTACTCGTGGGGGGTGGAGGCTGAGCAGCTGAGCAAGTCTGCTAGGGTGTTGAGACACCTGGCGATGTGAAGAGCTGTGTTGGTGATGCCCCTTCTGGGTGCGCCAGTGCCAGATGGCTGAAGCCAGCATTGCGAGGCGGGCAGAATATGTCCCTCCCTGCTTGTTCAGGTTGTACATGACGGTGGTGTTGTCTGTGACTACCTGGACATGGCGTCCTAGCAGGGCATCCTGGGAGGACGCTAGGGCCTTCTGAACTGCTAGCATCTCCAGAGCGTTGATGTGGAGACGGGCCTCTCTCTGGTCCCAGTGCCCCTGAGCCGGTGTTGGACGCGTCGGTTCTGACGGTCTAGGAGGCGGTGGGGCGGGTGGAAGGGTATGCCTGTGGTGAGGTTGTCTATGGCACACCACCATAGGAGGGACTCTCTGACCTCCTTGGGGGGGGGGGAGAGGTGGGTCACATGGGGGTCCTCATCCCACGTGAAGGCTCTCATGAACCATAGCCGGAGAGGTCTCATGTGGAGCCTTGCAAGCTGCAGCACCAATACTGTGGAGGCCATGAGGTCCAGCAGCTTCTGGGTGGTGTGGGCAGTGGAAAAAGTGTGGCCCTGATGGCTGCAACCAGAGCAGCAAGGGTTTCTGCCCTTGGCTGTGGCAAGAAGGCTTTGGCGAGGGTGGCGTTCAGGCGTGACCCTATGAAGAGTACAGACTGTGTGGGGGAAAGAGCTGATTTGTCATGGTTTATGAGGAGTCCAGGTCCCGAAGGAGGAGGAGTGTGATAGGCCACGCAGTAAGTCCTCCCTGGAGGGGGCCACAAGGAGCCAGTCATCCAGGTATGGGAAGACCTGGATCCCATGAAGTCTAAGGAGGGAGTCTAAGGTGGGTGCAGACGACTGCCACGCATTTGGTGAATACACATGTGGCCGTGGACAACCCAAAGGGCAGGACGCAGAACTGGAAGGCCTGCTGTTCGATTTGAAAGCACAGAAAATGCTTGTGCTCGGGGTGGATAGCGATATGAAAGTACACGTCCTTGAGGTCTATGGAGGCGAACCAGTCTCTTTGGTTGAGGAGGAGGATGCCCTGGAGAGTGACCATCCTGAACTTCTTGGGGGTGATGAACTTGTTCACCCCACTCAAGTCTAAGATGAGCCTCAGAGTCCCATCCCGTTTAGGCACTGTGAAGTACCTGGAGTAGAAGCCCCTGCGGCCAGGCCACATGCGCCCAGGGACTCCAGCACCAGGACGGAGGGAGTTGTGTCCACGGGCGCCCCGGGGTCCAAGAATTCCAGGCGGTCCCAGGTTGCTTCTGATGTCGAAGGGGCCGGCTCCCTCACAGCACTGGCGCCACAGTGTTGGCTGGGCCCTCCCCCAGCAATGCTGCCCTCCTTGCCCTGAGGGGCTTGGAGGGGCCTTCCCTGGGAGGGGGGGTTATCCGCTCCCAGGGTAAAGGTCATAAGGGCCTGCCTGAGACGTGTGGCTCTCTGCTGGAGCGCCTGCTTTTTAAAGGCCTGGCAGTGCGGGCCAGTCTCCACGATGTGCCCCTCACCTAAGCAGAGGAGGCACTTCAAATGCCCATCGCTAGTGGGCATTCTTGCTGCACAGGAGGTGCAGCGGCGTGGAGCTGAATCGGCCATGTGGTCCGAAATGGAGTGCACGTGGTCGAGGAAAGGAGAGGAGAGAGCTGTAGCAAGAGGAAGCGAGAGAGGAGGAGAGAGGCGGTAGGCTTCTCTCTGCGGTGGCTTGAAAGAAGAAAAGGGGTTGGTTTTTTGAGGTTTTTTTTCCCCCGAGAGATAGAGAGAGACACAAGATGGTGAACCGGTAAGTAGAGTGAGTGGAAGGCTCTGATCTCAGGCGAGTTCGAAGTGTGGTACAAAAGGAACTGAGGGACTGGGCGGGAGCAGTATACAGGTGGCGGTCCTGGCTCCCACCCACTCCATGGCGCTGAGCTTTGGAAGTTTCTCTCCAGTTGAGGCCTTGCGCTGCGCGTCAAGCCCATTGGTATGTTTGCCCAGAGACCATGAAGAAGACAAGTAACCCTTGGCTTATGCCTTTTGATTACCCCAACTCATCCACCCACCCACCCACCCACAAAAAAGAACCTTAAACTCACTTCAGAATCACTCCAGACAGTGACCTCTATCGCTCTCTGTAAAGGACGGATTCCACTCTGAGCTGGCAAGGAATGGGTTTCTATTTACTGTCTTCCTTACTGTACTAGCCCAAGCTTGCCTGCTTTCTTCCTGAATATAGTTCCACCCAATCTTTGGGTGGAAAATGCTGCTATAATACATATACCGGTTACTCCCATAGCCTTGAGGAAGACAGTTAGTTCTATCCCTTGTTGCATTATTTGCAGATACATTTATATTTATGCCAAATGTATACAAGGAATGTCTTATCATACAGGGGAAGAAAAAGAATTATGCAACCTGGAAAGGACTGCACCAGTATCTTCAGGAAAATGAACAGGTTTCACCTCTACTTCCCTAATTTGTGGATGACAGTTCAAGATGATGCATATTTCTGTCAGAGGACGACTTTCAGCAAGACCTAGTTGCAAGAATCCAAAATTAAGTCTTGAAGCACAATCTTTTCTGATATTTCCTGCTATGTCTCAGAATAGAATTCAGCCACCACTGGGCATTCAATTTATTTCAGTGGGAGAGTTAAATGCATCCATAACCATCTCTCATTGAAATAAATGAGAGTCCCAAATAATTTAGTGTGAAGTGAACTAGTCAAAGCAATTGTCTACATCTCATGTACCTACCTAACACCAGATCTTCTCAGAAACAGATGCCAGCCTGCC